TTTAACTCTCTGTTTTTGATTTAGACTTCATATCTACAAACAAAATCCACTTGAAAGATGGAAACAAACAAACTCTTTCTTTTACTGTATCCTCAGAGCTACTTCACTCCTTGTCACAACATCATTTCTCTCCCAAGAGCTCAAAATTCAAGCTTAGGCCCAGGCTTGGTGCATAAAAACAAAGTCTGTTGTTCAGAGCTCTCAGCACTCAAAAGAGCAGATGGTCTAATGTATTATCCAAACAACTAAATGGGAAAAAACAAGCTGTAGGTTCATCCATGATGAAATCAGACTAAGCAGAACCAGAGCATCCCTCCCAGAACACAAGAAGCAATACAGGAGATGGTTCCCACAGTTTAAACTCACTCTTCCACATCCCCCTTAACTTCCAGCTGTGAACAAACCGAGGGGAAAGGCGACCTCAAAGCCAAGCCCTCCCTCCTCCAACCCAGCACGTGCTGTGCCTGCACCTCGGAGGTGATGTCGATGAGAGTTTTGCGTGGGAGATCTCGGAGGTGTGTCTGGTGGTTTGTCAGCTGCTGCAGAAGCTGGATGCTCTCCAGCAGAGCTTTCCGGTCCTAGGAAGGAAAGACAAGCCAGAAACAGAGGATGTGCATCAGAGGATGAAGCTGAAGGCTCAGGTAATAATCCACTCTTGAGATGCTTATGCCTACTTGTAATAAAAACACAGACAATAGTTTCCTAAAAGGCCACTCAGCTTTTCCCAAATTGGTGTTTTCTGGCAGTGTATGACAACAGATCCCTTCTTTCTAGGAGAGGTAGGAACCTTCTGTACTACATGATACAGTTCCTACATTCTAGTCAGGAACATTCAAAAGGCACAAAAAGTCCATGGGTAATGCAACAGAAAAGAACTGAGCTCGATGCTTCAAGTCCTGTTGCATCCATGAACCAACAACCCTTTCTCTCTGGATCCTCCTTCCCTCAGACAGCCCCAAACCAGAACTGACACACCCAACAGCAGTGCTACCTTCACGAGCCGCCCAGACTGGAACAGAGCCATAACTCCAAAAAAGTTCCCAAAAGCAGCATTTCTCACAAGTTTCTGAAAAGGAAAAACAAAACAGAAAAGGGATTAAAAACCCCCTTTAGTTATGTTTCACATCCAGCTACAGCTCTGCCATAGGGAGGTAACACACTGACAAGCAACCCCATACATGGTATTTAAGAACTGTCCTAGATTACCTTTTCATCACACAGGCAAATCTCAGCTAAAACAGGGACAAATGACAACGTCATCAACTTCCAGTTTTCACAAATATTCCTGTTATTTTGTTAGAGTCATTTGCTTTAGCAAGAACCCCAAAACCACACGATACACCAAGACTTTAAGGACTAGAGAACAGTCAGTTTGAAGCAGCAGTTTGGCAAATGCCCTGAGCTAACTCACCTTTTTCACTTTTTCCAGATTGTGTTTTTCTTTTATCTGTTCCAGGACGCTGCACAGCGGAATTTCCTCAAAAGTCTGTAAAACCTGAGGAGAGAGATGGAATAGCTCATTTTGCAACTCTTCCATTTCATGAGGTTTTACTGGGTTCAGCTGAAATAGAGCCAAACAGTTGCTCAGCATAGCAGCAAAAGTGCTGCTTTATTGGGCCAGAATAGAGACACCCAGATCAGTAAAGATGTGTCAGAACAGGAACCAGGCTGGGAGAGCTGGGGGGTTCACCTGGGGAAGAGAAGGCTCCAGGGAGACCTCAGAGCCCCTTCCAGTGCCTAAAAGGGTTCCAAGAGAACAGGAGAAGGACTTGGGACAAGGGCCTGGAGGAATAGAACAAGGGGAATGGCTTCCCACTGCCAGAGGGCAGGGTTAGATGGGATATTGGGAATTCTTGGCTGGGAGTGTGGTGAGGCCCTGGCACAAGTTGCCCAGAGAAGCTGTGGCTGCCCCATCCCTGCAAGTGTCCAAGGCCAGGCTGGACAGGGCTTGGAGCACCCTGGGCTAGTGGAAGGTGTCCCTGCCCATAACAAGGGGTAGAAGATGACCTTTAAGATCCCTTCCCACCCATTGTGTGATTCTGTGCAGACACAAATACACCTGCTGATATTCTTTTTTGTGTGTGTTTTCCTGTACATGACATAACAGGTGAATAATGTACACATTTTACTGCAACTGCCAGATCCTGTAATAGAAGCAACAAAACTTTTCAGCATGGGCAAGGCCCTGATCAAAGTGGGAAGCACACAGGTTTTTCTGTCTGATGAACTTCTCAGGTTAGCTGAGGTCAGATCTCACTGGTGATCCCAACTCCTGGGACTCTCTGCCATGTTACAGACTCCACCAGCACGGAGGAAAAAACACCAGACTTTGAAATGTTTGTTAAAGGGCTGTCTTTTCAGATCTCCCACATAAACCGCCAAAAGCAAGTCAGTTTTAAGAAATCACGGTAGCACTAAATGCAGCATATCTGAAAACCTGGTCAAAGTTCGCAAATTTGGGATGGCTCTTGAGGCAGGACAGAATTCTGCAGAATGAATATGCCACTGGTATAGTTTATAACTTTATGAGTGCGTTGTTCCTAGAGCAGATGAACACCATTTAAAGCCAGTTTTCTCTGATGAGAGCCTTCCCCTGCCATGTGCACGCAGAGCCGGCCGAGGGGACCCCAGGAGCTGCCCGGGGGCCGCGGAGCGCCGGGAAACACTGACCTGCGCCAGGGCCAGGCTGAAGCCAGGGCGGGCGGCCTCGCGGGTGGCTCCCAGACCCTCCACCAGCCGCTTCAGGGTGTACTTGAGCTCATCGTCCTGCAAGAGAGACCCAGCTGAGCCGACTGCTGCCCGCGCCCGGCCCGGCCGGGGCCGCCCGCACCGACGCGCTGCCAGCGGGGAGCGGAGGGCCGAGCCGGGCTCGGGGGCACCCACCCGCACCCCCGCAGCCCCTCGGGCCCCCGCCTCACCTTCTTGCCCTGCCGCAGGTGCTGCAGGAGGTTCTCGGTGGCCGCCAGCCGCACCTCCTGCTCCGGCCTGGCGATGTCCCAGAAGAAGTCGAGGAAGGCGCGGCCCTGCCGCAGCACCCCGCGGGGGTCGGTCACCCCAACGCCCTGCTCCTCCATCCCTTCCATCCCCTCCATCTCCTCCGGCCCCGCCATCCCGGCCACGCCGCCGCCGCTGCCGCACGTGGGGCCGCCCGCCCGCTCCGCCTCTTCCGGGGCAGCGGCGGGACGGGCCCGGCTGCTGTGAGAGCCGCGGCCTCGGGGACCTGGCAGCTCCGCGCTGCCCCCGCAGCCCGCTCCCTCATGGCTGTTCCTCAGCCCCGCTGCCCTCACAGCCCATTCCTCACAGCCTGCTCCCTCATGGCCGCCCCTCAGCCCCGCTGCCCTCACAGCCCATTCCTCACAGCCTGCTCCCTCATGGCTGTTCCTCAGCCGCGCTGCCCTCACAGCCCGCTCCCTCATGGCCGCCCCTCAGCCCCGCTGCCCTCACAGCCCATTCCTCACAGCCCGCTCCCTCATGGCTGCCCCTCAGCCCCGCTGCCCTCACAGCCCATTCCCTCACAGCCAGCTCCCTCATGGCTGCCCCTCAGCCCCGCTCCCCTCACAGCTCGCTCCCCTCATGGCCGCCCCTCACAGCCCCGCTCCCTTCAAGCCCCTCATCCCCAAAACCAAGTTCGTTTCCCCGCTGTGCAACAAGCCCATAACGACACAACTCGGCCGAGGCATTTATTTATTCCAGCGCTGCGCAAGCCCCCCGCGGTCGGTGTGTTCCACAAGCACCAGACTTTCTAGCGCCCTTATTTACACAGAGAAATTCAATTAGTAACTTTCCAAATACACCCCGACTATTATGATTTATTAGTAATTTCCATGCAAGTCACATAACCCCAGGTAACCTCATTACATGCTCGGGGACGTGTCTTCACCTGGGCAGGGTCTTTTTGACCTGTAGGCGTGATTTTCAGTATTATAAGGAAGATAGGTCAGCTATAGGGATACATAGACCTGGAGGATTTTGCCAAGTTAGCAATGTATACGTAGACACACATCAACATCTTGTTTTAATACATCCTTAAGGCTTGTTACTTCTAGGATGTCCTTGAGTAAGAGATGCTCCTGCTGCCTGTTCTTCTCATTAGGTCTCCTTTCTTGCTGATGAGGTTGAAAGCTTGCAAAGACCTTACATCAAAGAACATCCTTACTTCAGATAATCTTTCACATTTTGCAACAGCCCCGCTTCCCTCAGGGCCATGTTCCCTCCCTGACCATCAGCCCAGCACCACTGCAAGACTCGTTCATCCCTCTCATGCTCCGAGGGATCTCTGGGCTCCCCTCACCCCGGTTCTCAGTTCTGGAGGGAATTTTGGATCCTCTCCCTACGAGGCTCAGTGAGGGCAGAGCCTGTGGGGTGAGCAGGGTAAGACAGACAAGAGGTGTGGGCACCCTGCCAGGCTCCCGTGCTAGCCACAGGAGCACAGGGAATGAACGTGACCCCTGGGGCAGGATCCACCCCTGTGATCGCTGTGATCCCTGGAAGGTGAACGTGACCCCTGGGGCAGGATCCATCCCTGTGATCGCTGTGATCCCGGAAGGTGAACGTGACCCCTGGGGCAGGATCCATCCCTGTGATCCCTACAGGATGAACATGACGCCTGGAGCAGGATCCACCTCCACGATCACTGCGCCCGCTGCCCCGCTCCCACCCGCAGGGAGATGCCTGGGGACGCAGGTGAGGCAGCGCCTGACCCACGGGGGCGGATAAAACCACCTCAGCGCCGCGGGCCGGGCTCGTGGCAGCACCGAGCGCCCCGCGCCCACTGGAGGCGTTAGCGCCCCCGGGTCGATCCCAGGCAGACCCCGGGGGGGATCCCGGGGCAGTTCCCGGGCAGATCCCGAGCACATCCCGGGCCGATCCCCGTCCCGGCACCGCCGCGATTCCGCACAGGCAGCAGCGCGGGCAGCCCCGGCGGGGCGGGGAGCTGGCGGCAGGCGCGGCGCGGGGCAGCCCCGGCCCGCGCGCCGCCGTATATAAGCGTTGCGGGGTCCTCGGGCGCGGTCCTGTCACGCTCGCACGGGGACGAGGCCGCGGCGGCGATGGCGGATTTCGATCCCTACGACGACCGGGCCTACAGCAGCTTCGGCGGCGGCCGCGGGTGAGCGGGGCCGGGGGCCGCGCCCGGGGGCTCCCCCCGCGCCGGGGGCGGCGGCGGGGAGCGGCGCCCCGCGCCCCCCGGCCGCGCGAGGCGGGGCCGCGGCCTGCCCCGCCGTGAGGGGATGGCGGGCGGGGGGAGCAGCCGCGGGGGCCGCCCGGGGCCCTTCCCGTGGCCGCGGCCGCCCTGCTTTGTGCGGCGGGTCCCGGGAGGGTCCAGGCCGTGCCCCCGCGAGCCCTGCAGGGTTCGGGGCCGGGAGCGGCGGGAAGGGGCGGGAGGAGGAGGAGGAGGGGTGGGGGGTGTCGCTGATCCCGCCGGCCGCAGGCGAGCGGAGCGGGGTTTTAGGGAGGTGCTGGGCCGGAGCCAGGGCGGGCCGGGAGGGGATCGCGCACCGGGAGGGGCGGAGGGAGCGTCCCCGGAGCGGGGAGAGCTGTGGAGGTGCCTGAGGAGGGAGGAAATGGGAGGGCTTTGTGGTGCCTCCGCTCGGGAAGCCGCCGTCCCACGTTATCCGGGGCTCCGGGTGCCGACTCCAAAACCCCGATCCTCAGGGACAGGGCTCGTCCCTGTCTCCTTGCCGGAGAGCGCGCGTAGGGAGGAGGAGCCACGGAGACAATAACCAGCAATTAGGAGTTTGTCTTGAATCAGGTTAGGGAGGTGCGATCGAACAATGGACCTTTTCGAAGGTTGGTGCTACCGTGGGTTTCTTTGTTGCACCAAAACAAAACAGCGGGCATAAAACCACGGAATAAACTTCCTGGTGGGCAAATCTTCCCACGTGTGTTACTGTATCACCTCATCTCCCGAGCTGTGTTTCCCGGTTAACGCTGTTCGTGTCCTTTCCTGCTCTTAGAGGAATAACCTGGTTTCATTTCAGGCTCCTTGGGCAGCAGGGACGAGCTGCTGCTGGGGTTAGAACAGCAGTAAGTTTTCCTGTCTTTGAAAGCTCTCTGACCCTTTTCAAGCTCATTTTCATGCACAGATACCCTTTGTGTCTAATGCAGAGATGTCCCGGGGCAAACAGCTGATGTAGCCACTTGCACTTCTGTTGTTTTCTTTTGTAAATTCTGTAACAAAATAACCTTGCCGGTGGCCTAAAGTGGCACTTGACACATAATAAATGCAGATGTTGCTGCACGGGGTAGCCTAGTCAGTGTGGGCACGTTGTATGAAGTAACGAAATTACAGTTAAAATGCTATTTCACATTCAGATTTCTGTCACAGAGAACTTCCACCTTGCTTTCAGGCAACACCTGGATCCTTGTTTGGTGAGCCAAAGGCATCCTGCAGATCAGTGGATGTGTTTACAGATGAGAAAATGTCCTTATTCTGATTTAGCTGCAGTTTTAAGCCTCAGACACTACTAATGTTAGAGTGCAACTTGTCCTTGCATCTGATTTAATACTATTGCTAATAAGTTACTAACAGCTAATTCACAATTTCAGATCTTAATGAGTCTCTGTACTTTGTCTAAAGTCCTGTAATATGTGAAGTCTAATGAAAACATGACTGTTCTTCTTGAAGGTTCTGATTAAAGAGTCCCATGTTCATTTAAAGTGGCTCCTACTCATTTTTAGGCGCTCTAGGAGCGTAAGAATAGTGTAAGCTCAGTTGAGATAGAGTAGTTTTTGTAAAAGTATCATTTTGCATAACCCTTGGTGTGTACAGAGAGCGAGATTTCAGCGTGACAGATGGGAAATCAGTGCCCAACAGGTTCTAACATATGTGAGATCTGCCTCTTTCTCATAATCTTCAAAATTATGGTGTAGGAGCACCAGAATGTGACTGTGGGGTGATGAGACAGTGTTTGGCTACACCTTGTGTCTGGTGGTGCTCTGATTCAGAGCTGGAGCACAACACTCTGGGGTGCACAAGTCCCTTTATTCCAGATGAAGAACATGCTGCTGACATGAATTACAAAAATCTTGCTGTAAAGGCTCTTTGGGACGTGTTTTGGAGCCCGAAATTCTACACAGAACCCTGTAATTAATCATACTGAGGCCTAGCTGAAACTCTGAACATCTGCAGAGCTGAAGGGAACTGTTTATCACTCCTGACTCGCTGCTGGGCAGTTTATTTAGGTGTGGCTTGAAGCACCTCACTAAAGGTTAAGATTCCCCTGCTGAAATGCTGCTCAGCTCAGTGAGAATGCAGAGTTAGTCCCTGTCCTTGGGGCATTTTTTGGGTCCTGTGTCTCACCCATCCACTGTTAACAGATACCTCCTAATTTTGAGCCTTGGGGAGGTTTTTTGTTGAAGACATCTGATGCTCTGGAGGTGTCCTGGGTTGCTTGAATAAATTGGGTATGAATTTAGAGCTGTGGTCTTGGAGGCTCCTGGCAGAACTTGCATCCTGCTGGTCCTTACAGTGCCCCAGCAAAGCTCTAATGTTGGAACCCAGGTAGGCTCTGGCCTCTGGTAAATCCTGGGTGTTGATCCCCAGGGAAAGGCTCTTTAACTCCCATACTGGCATTCCAATATATTTTGTTTCGAACTTTTGGCAGATCTTGTTTTCTAGAGAGAGAACTAAACTTTCCAAAAGTGTAGCTTCAAAATGATAGTTCAGTTGTTCTTCCACCCCGTTAACTGTGCCCACCACAAGGTAAGTTCAGTCACAGGGGGGTTTGCTGGAAGCAATCTTTCCTCTTCAGCTCTCTGCCTTGGTTTTCTGGAAAGGAAATCAAATCCTGTCTTTCAGATTCCCACACTGAGATGACATAATTATTACCTAACTGTGTCTGAGCAAGTTACACTGAGTGGGAAATGCAGATATTCATTCAACACTGGTGTGACCCAGTTCACTTGGTCCAGAGATGTTTTCAATTATTTTTTGACTTTTGTCCTATTCTGTTGTAAATGAGAGAATCTTCTTCCAATCTCATTGTTTGGTTATTGAAGTCAGCCCTTTTTTAATTTATTTCACTGTTTCAGTATTGGAAAAATGCAGGGAAGTACAAAACCACTTTTAGTGTTTCTATACCCTGGATTCAGCTAGGAAGCAGTTTGGAAGTTATTTATTGACCATTCCCGTTCCTCAGACAGAAACTGAAATACCAAATGCATAGTTCTGTATCCGATAACCGAGGCCTTCGTATCAAATTCAGAAAGAATACTCCATTTCCTGACTCAAAATCAGCTGGATTTCACAACAGGGTCTGGATTGGCACACAGGCACCCCGGGAAGTTCTGGTGTGCCATGGTACAGACAGGGTTTGTCTGTGGCTCAGAAAACCCTTTTGGGGATTGTGGGTGTGGCTCCTGGAGCGGCTCAAGTGGGGGTTGCTGAGGAAAGCTGAGGTTCCAGCCCTTGCTCTCCTTCTCGTTCCCATCTTGGCACAGTGCTCTTTGCAGCTGTCCAGATCACCTTGTTGATCTGGCTGAGGATTCAACTCCAGGGCGGGTTTTTGGGTGAATCAGCTCACTGAGGAGGTCACTGGCAGCTCAGGAACGTGCTGAGAACGTGCTCAAGGAGGGGATACCCCTTTGAGACCCAGCTGGGACAATTCTGATGTTCCTATAGATCATTGATTTTCTTCTATTTTGTTTTGACTGCAAATTAAACATATTATTTTAATAGCTGTTCTTTATGACAGAGATGAGAATTAAGGACAAAGACATGGAGCTGAGTCCACATGTTATGGAATTATTTAGAAGAGCAACTCAGCTTTCTTGGAGTTCCTCCTTAAAACTTGGTCTGAAGTTAATTCTGCTGTACATTCACAGCACCAAGATTACAGCTTTAGTCCTCCAGTATGTTTTTGACTTGGTAATGAGACAAAGGCAGATGAGGAATATTGTCAAAAATGCAAAAATACAAACCTGGGTGGACCCTAATTAAAGATATGTAGGTTGTGATTCAAGTATGTTTAGCAGCATGTTGGTAATGTTGGTGATAAATGATTCCTGCATGGAGCTGCTGCCATAAAAAGGCACAAATGACAGGCTCACCTAGGAAGAGCTAAGGAATCTTATTCAAGCTTAGTGCATTATCTGATTCATTAGCAATAAAATATTTATTCTGGAATGAGGAAAAATACTGACAAGTACCTTGCTGGCCCAATGGATTTTCTGGCTGGGTGCAACCAGGCAGAATAAAAGGAAATAATAAAATTGTTTGACCTCCTGGATTTTAGGTAGGATTGTGCAGCAGTCTAATTGGTCCATGTCACATTGGCAAATCTGCTTTAGTACAGCTTGTGTTCCACTGGGCTCTTAAATGCACAGGGAGCCTCTGGGAAAGGGAACAAACACAAGCAAAAGCCCAGCAGAAGGCAGGTGATAAAGGGAAGGTGGGCAGAGTAGTAGGGAGGAATCCCAGGTAAAGGTCAGGGATTGCTGAGGGATGCAGATGGTGTTGGAACCAGTGACATCCTGTGGTCTGCAAGTCCAAGAGCTTTATCTTCAGGTTAAAACCTTGTTACCTTGCTCTCTGTCCAGGAGATCCCAGTTGGTTTGGCTCTACAGGGAGTCACACACAGAGGTGTTAAATGGTGCAGTAAAGAATTTAGCTGGGGCAGTTTAGTTCCTCAGCCCCCAAAGCCAAGAGCTTAACTGAGACTGAGGGATGAGACAGGGAAAGACCACCTAGTTTACCTCAGTCTGTAATTCATGACACAAAGGAAGAACTAAACATCCAGACAGCACTGAAATTGGGTTTTCTGCCTTAGAACCCCTTGCTCAACCAAGTCTTTTATTGTGTGTTTGATTCAAAGCATTCCAGTCCAGGTATGTGACAGTTATGGCAACAACTTCAGACTTAGGAGAAGGTGTTTCCATTAAGCTAAATGCTGCTGAAATAATTCAGATGATTGGGGAGTGGGTGTTGATAATACACTATTTAGTTAAAAGCATTGGATCCAGCTTAGTGTCAGGATGAACTGACAAACCTGTGCCATACAAGTATTTCCTCACCGCTATAAATTATTCTCAACATTCTAGTCTAGGATGTAGTTTTGAAGATAAAGTGTTTTTGAGCAGGGGGCAGTAGAGATGGGAAACATAAGATCTTATTAATGAATTTTGGGATGAGAAAGCAGTTCATTCATCACCTTGTTACTGAGCTCCTCTAATGCATTTAAGTACACTGTTCATTTGTTTTTTCCATGGCAGTACTGCAGCAGGTAATAGTGGAAAGGAGCTGACTGGGAGTGAAAGTGGCAGGTGCAGGCAAAGGGCTGGACAAACCACCCAAGCTGTGTGACAGTCCCCTTGCAGGCAGTGCCACAGACTGCAGTGTGGCTGTGCTGGGAGTCACTTCCAGGGCACTCTGCTTTTCCCAACAGGTCTCGTGGTGGTGGCCTTGGTTCCCGCAGAAATAAAGAGCTGCCAACAGAACCCCCTTTCACAGCCTATGTGGGAAATCTGCCCTTCAACACTGTCCAGGGAGACATAGATGCCATCTTCAAGGATCTCAGCATCAGGAGCGTGCGGCTAGTCAGGGACAAGGAAACAGATAAATTTAAAGGTCAGTGTTGCCACCTGGTTCGGCTGCAGATGGAGAACTGCGAGGAGAAAATAAAGCCACTTCAGTGGGGAATTGCAGTCTAAAGCACAGTTGATCTTGGGCTCTTTATGTTGAATTATGCAGGTTTTTCATTTGGGCAAGATTCACTGTTACTTCATCATCTTAAAGTACATCCTAAAGTACAACCTGAGTGACAGGAGTCAATATTTGCCCTACCCTAAAGGGACTTTCTCAAACCTTGTTTGTCTTGTATGAATTCTACCAGAGCTGAAGTGTCTGACCCACTTAAGACCCGTGACCTTAAGCATTGAGTACTTACACAATCTTTCTGTACTTCAGAAGGCTACCATTGCTTCAGCTCTGTCCCTTTTTAGTAGACAGGGAGAAAAAGCAAGTAGATAAACCATTCAGGCAACTCTTAGAGGATGCAAATCTAATTTCCATTGGAATTGGCCAGTGGAAAGGGACTATATTTGTAAGTTATCTTTAGGGGTGGAAAAAGTTTAACTTGGAGAGGATCTTTTTGAAAAGTAATAAATCCACTAAATAATGTGATGACACAAAATCACACTGCTGGCCAAGAAGGTATTCCAACTTCTTTTTTAAAAATATTAAGAAACAAGTGTCAGTGTTCAGCTAAACAATTGTCTGAAGGTATAGACAGATCTAATCTGCAATGAGAACTCTGTGGAAAAGGGCTCTTGGCATTCACACAGTGCCCAGAGTTCTGTTCCGGGATTTGCCCCATCATTAACAGGCAGAGGTAAATGCATTCAGCGTTAATGCATCTTGCACTTAGCAAAGTTGGAAAGAGAAGGGAGACCATTAGCAGATGTGCAGGAGGAGCAGCTTCTTACAAAGGCCTTTTCAAGTGCTGTTAACTCGAGATTTGTGTTTTACAGGATTTTGTTACGTAGAGTTCGATGAGGTGGAGTCACTCAAGGAAGCTCTTACGTATGATGGTGCAGTAAGTACACTTGCAATTAATTTGTGATATCAGAGATAAGCACAAGTCTCAAACTCCTTTTACATCCTGAATGGATTCTCCCCTTGATTTAACAGCTCTTGGGTGACCGGTCACTCCGAGTGGACATAGCAGAAGGCAGGAAACAGGATAAAGGTGGCTTTGGCTTCAGAAAAGGTGGCGGGCCCGATGACAGAGGTGACTTCCATTTTTCTAACTAGCTTCTTAAATATAACGGTTGTAGTTGTGTCTTCTGGTGCTGAACTAATGCTAAGACAAGGCATGCAAGTGAACATGAAAATTATATTGCAAGGAGAAATTTGGCATATACACATTTCTAACCAGCTGCTGCTGCCGCTCCTGAGGTGTCTGGAATTTAGCTGTGCTTTGTGTCCAAAGGCTGGATATGTTGTCACTCCTAGCCCAGGAAGTGAGACCAATACCCCTAATAATGTGCTGTGTCTTGCAGAGGACAATCATAAGCCCAACAGTCTGATCTGCTACTATTTTATGATGATGTAAGAAAAGTGAGTAAGCACAAGCAGACAAATACTTATTTTGGGCTGTGTCTCCAGTTCCAGCGTGAAGAGAGGCTTGGCTGTAGTTAAAGCTTGGTTGAACCAGACTCACTAAAGGTTTCCATTGAATGTCTGTTAGGGAAGCTTTTCTGACCATTTATTCTTGGTTCATTTAAACTGACTGTTTGTTCCTGTGCAATGGAACTTGGTAGTACTGAAAGGAAAGGATTTTCCAGCAGCATGGCTTTGGACATTGAAGGACTGAAACATTGGTTTGGTGTCCCCTTGCCCAGTCTTTCCCACAGCTTCAGATCTGAACACAATTGTGGCTTTTTTCCTAGGAATGGGAGGAGGTTCCCGAGAATCCAGAGGAGGTGGATGGGATTCCAGAGATGACTTCAATTCTGGTACCAGTATTCACACTTATACAGAGAGGGAGCCTAAAAGGCTCCGAAATGTTCTCATTTTCATTTGTCCCCAGTACTGCTTTGATTGAATCTGCTGTTTGTGCCCACTTGGACATCCTGCAGCTGTGGTGGGATTCCTCAGGGGGAATCTTCCATTGCCTCGTAACAGAGGAGAGAGTCTTGATTGTAAATTCTGTGAAACCACCCTAAGTGACAGAATACTTGTCCAGATGTAGCCCCTGGTGTCTGTTTTAAGCATTTCTCAAACATCTGGCTGAGTAAATTTCTCAGTAGTAGCAGAAACAGACAAATCATGTGGAAAGGCTGATCCTCCTTCAGAGCAGAGGCTTTCACCTTCTTAGGGAGATGTGACATGTTATGTGTATTCCTGCAGAAACTGACTTCTCCAAAGATGGATTAGTGTTCTAAAATACTTCTAAATGCAAAATATTCCTGAACTTTTAGACCTGTTACAGTAATGCAAGCTGCAGCAAGTGACTGAGCTTGCCGGAGTGCAAGGTAGTGACAGAGCCACCGGGTTTGCTCTTGCCTTCCAGTCAGTTCCTCCCTATTAGAATCCAGGGTGGCATTAACAGAATTGCTTATGTCCTCTGAACTCGTGGGTTTGGTCCATTTTCTGATGGGGAGATGTTGGCAAGTGCAACTTTGCAGTGTCTGGTCTCTGCGTGAGTGGAATGGACGATGTAGGAGCGGTGCCAGAGTGTGCCCTTGCCACCAGCATGGATGGGAAGTGTGATGCTGGAGAGAGGAGCTTGCTACAGCACTGTGCTTAACCTGCCTTTGGAGCTAAGCATTCTGGTGCCACAGCTTCATACCTTCCCCTTGGCAGCTTCTCCAAATGTGGACTCATTGCAGCCTGTTAAATGCTGGACGAGCGATTCGTGAGCCAAAAGTTTAGCATTTAAGTCTTAGCTGCTACAGAAGCTTTTCTTCTCAGGTTGTACAGCCCTGGATCAAGTCTTTAAAGGTGGTTTGTTTGGCACTGAAGTAAGTAAGGGACAGCTCTGCAACTCTGCCAAATACTGGAGTGGAAAGGAAAATCTCAGTTGGGAACCAAACAACTTTCTCTTCCAGGCAGCTTCTGAAAATCTGAATATATTCCCTTTCCTGTGCTCTTTACTTGAAGTATCCTCCTCCAGTTCAATGCAGGCAGTGGGGGCTTGGAGAGATATTCCAGGATAGTCACTGGTACAGACTGGAACTCTGGTCAGTGACAGACAGTTCTTGATTTTTTGGATATATAAACTGAAGAAATTTAGTCAGTTTAAAATCTGATTATCCCCCTCCCCAGCAATCCTTTAACTAGTCTAGTGAATACCTTATCACTTTATGGTACAGCTAAAAAGCCTTGGGGTTTTACTCTGTTCTGTAAGGACTCTGTATTTCACTACTCCCCAGCTATTTCCCCATTTACTCTGCTCCTGCAGATTTCATGCTAAGGCTGCACCAGTGGGATCTTCTGGCTACAGAAGTACTCTGAGTACTTGTAGTGTTGTCTCTGAAGTCAGCTAATGGTGTTAACAGTCAGAAGTTGCGACTGAAGCTCATATTTTAAGCTCACTTGACCCACTCTCCAACACTCCAATAAGCCTCTAAGTGGATAAAGCACTTTCTGAACTTGGCATAGTGTACTTGGTTTCAAAGGGAATCTGAGTGACTCTTCCAGAACGTGTTAGACCTCTGTGAAGCAAATCTGTCTGCAGACAAAAGGCTCAGTGCACCACCTTGGACTGACAGCAGTGACTTGCGGGGCTTTCCAGTCATCCAGATAAAAAACTAGATGCAAAACATTGCAAAATACGCTCTTTAAACCCACTGTCTTCCGTCTTCAGGATTCAAAGACGACGACTTCTTGGGAGGTCGGGGTAGAGGAACCCGCCCCGGAGACCGGCGACCACCCGGTGCCTCCATGGGGAGTGGTGGCACCGGTCGCTTCAGAGATGGGCCTCCCCTCCGTGGGTCTTCCATGGACTTCAGAGAGCCAACAGAAGGTAAACTCCTCCCTTGTGTGACTGAGCCTTCCCTCGCGAGGGACGCTCGTGGTTCCTCTGTCAGGTGGAAGCTCCTGCCCTTGGCAGGCGGATCTGAGCCCCGCAATGTCTTCTCTTTCAGAGGAAAGAGCACAGCGGCCCCGACTGCAGCTCAAACCTCGAACAGTCGATACTCCCCTCAATCAAGTAGCCAACCCAAACTCTGCGATCTTCGGCGGAGCCAAGCCCCGGGAGGAAGTAGTAAAAGAGCACGACTGAGTCTGGGGTTGGGAGGGAATGGGGAGGCGGGAGGAAAAGCAAGACAGTACAGAGTGACTAGCTCTGCTGGAATGTCAACCCTGCAGTTTACCATTCCTGCCATCTGGTATTTGTCCTCTTTGAAACCGAAAACACAGAGCTTGTGAATGCATGTCAGCTGTTAACAAGTGGTTTTTAGTACGTTCTTGGCTTTGCTGTATCTAGTGCCTGCTTTGTGCTGAGTTTCCCTCTTCTGTTTCCTTCCAAGCAGCACAGTTGCCAGTAGAAAAGGCAGTGTGGCTGCTTCCACGAGCGTGGAGGTCTCTGGACAAAGGTGCTGCTTCACTTCTTCCTTTCTGGGTTTGTTTTACTTTAGAAGCACAGGTTAGACTTAGTTATTTCCCTGTATGGTTTCCTTTTACTTCTCAGTGCTCCTCTTCTGACCTGCATGTCTCGTTCTGTATTGCTGTGGCTCTGAAGAGGAAAACTGAAGAGTCCAGATGAGTTGAACAGAGAAATGTCCAGTTCTAACCAAGCAGTGAAATACCATTTCTGACAATTGGTGATAGTTACTGTTCACAGCAGAGCCCCTTGTAAAGCTAAGGGGGGCAGCTGCCCTTTCACAGGGGTTGCCAGGAGGGATCAGTTCAATGGATGCCTTGCCTGACAAGCCTTGGGAATAGCTGGTGGAATCAGTATGGATAAAGCCTCTGCCAGCAGCCTCTTCCTGCTGGCTGTTGACTTCCAAATGGTACGATACTACTACACCTCTGAGCTCAAGGTTAGTGCTGCAAAAACGTGCCTGTTTGAGCACAACTGCTCACTGGCTCTTTCTGCTTACTTTTTTGGGTTTTACATGTTTGGTAAATTTTTAAATGAAGTTTCTACCAATAAAATTGACTTTTTTATTTTTGTTGAAGGAGTGTATACTTTGCCACGCAGTATTTGATCGCCACTATCCCCTGTATTTCTTTGCCCGGTGGGGTACAGTTTTAGGACCTCAGCTTTTAGAATACCTTGAAAGTGGGCAGATTAGAAATCCTCCTGCTTTAGATTCTCCTGTAGAAGTTTGGGTAAAAAGCATCTCGTGTTGCTGCACCTCTTTTCACTTTCTTGCCGGTGTTGTGTGGGAGGAGGGAGGGGAGGCTGGAGCAAAAGGAGAGATCATTAGCGTTGAAAACCAAAACCTGAGCTGTGGATGTGTCCAGTGCATGGGAAAAACCTGGGCCCCCAATGCCAGTGGGGAGAGCCTTCAGCTAGAACAGCCAGCACCCCAGAGTACTTGCAAGAGGAGTTTGGAAGCATGGCTGCCCCACTACCAGCACCACTGCTAGTGATGAATTTCTTCCCTTAAAGTTCCTGTTGTAAGTCAGAGTCCCAGCAATTTACAGAACTACTCTTTCCTTCCTTCTGCCTTTCACTTAATCTGCTTCTGAGATAAGAACCATTTGTCTAACACTAATACTTAATTTAAGACAGACATGCATTTGTGTGGTTGTATTCCAAACCAATAATTGATCTATTTACATCTTCAATGTGGAAAAGATTTTAAGAACAAATTCCCATATAAAAACTCACCTCTAGTCAAGACAGTTGACTTTTAAATGTAAAAACAAAGGAAAAAAAAAAAAGAAATCCAAACACTTAACACATTCTGCTTCATAACAAAATAAATTTATGGATATGGTATTTTGTGAATGATCTTTTAAATAAAAGAAAACATTAAGTAATATTTAAGATTGGTCTTTATTTGAGTCTGCTCTAGCATGTTTTTCCCCCCCTTCAGTTTTCAAATATTGTGTTAATTTGTACCAGAGCCATTCTGATACAAAATAAGGGGGGAAGAGGAAAAGATAAAGGGGAGGAATCTAATCTAAACAGTGCTGGAACAGTGAAGTAAAAATTGTTTATGGGTGGAAATGAGCCCAAGTTCTTTACCCTGTGGTTTCAGTGTCACTTCAGTGCCGTTGCTGAGGCTGCCAGGTGGGACTTGGGGGTGCTACAGCTCCTCATGCTGTGTCCCACAGGCTGGGTTTCTCCCAACTTTTCCAACTGACCTGTTTTCCATGAGACTTAACAGTTAAAGGCACTGTTGCCCTGTGGCTTTGAAATACGTGCTTATTGCAGGGTAAGGTGAAAGAGGTAGAGCCATGATTTTATTGAGGAAATGAGCTCTGACCTCCCTGCTGGTTTTACTGCTTTGCATGGCCTGAAAGGATGGGAAGTTCTTGCCTCTGGCTACTCAGTCCACCTTCTCTTTAGACCTCTTAGCACAGCTTGAGCAGAGTCCCAGCCCTGCTCTGGAGCCTCTGGGTGTCCTCCCTGACCCCACCCCGAGGGGTGTGTGCAAGGGCAGGGCTGGCTGGGGGAGCTGCTGCCACAGCTGGGCTGTCAAACCCAGTGGTGGAACCAGTGATTTCACCCCTGCATGCAGGAAAGGAGCCCTGATTTGTGAGAGAGGTGGCAAATGGCTCATCTTGGTTCTGCAAATCTTTTTCTGGATCTGCCAATATTGGTTTGGTCAAGGGTTTCCTACTAGTGAATGCAGCCTGATCCCAACCTCATTTACCACCTTTCCTTTTCCTTTTTGTAGTTCTTCATGTGCAAACAGTCATGGTTTCTTTGGAGCATTCCACACTGTGCTTCCCATGCAGCTCAGGGTCAGACTCCTCCAGTCCTTTTTCTTTCCCTCCTTCCAAATGTTACCTGATGAACGTTTTCCTCCACAGAAGCCCATCAAACCACCTTGTGTCAACAGTTGACACAACTGTATTTAATGTATGGGTGTGGCATTTCGGTTTTGTAGGAGGAAGCAAGATTATGTTCTCCCCATCCCACCAGCGAAAAAACAGTTGAGGTTTAACCTGTAATGCTTAACTTTCTCTGCAGCTTAAAGCTAAGCCTGGCATGGCAAAGCCCAGACCGAGCAGGCACCAGCAGTGTAGCAAACAGATCATTCACTCTGTGGCTGTTCATGTTCTCACTGAGTTATTTCTAGTAGCTGTGCAGAGCTTTCTTGGAGCTTAAACTTAGGAAAATAAACAAAACTGAAGGTAGGAAGGCAGCAGGCAGTTTTTGGAATTGGAATTGAGTTTGCTGCTGCAGGAAGTGCTTTGGTGTGTCTCTCCAGTTGGGTTGCAGCTGGGGAAGGTGGGTGTCTGGAAGAGCTGTGGGACACTGCAGGAGTGAACAGCAGCTTCTAATGTGCTGCAAAACTCCCTGGCAACCACCAAAAATTGAACTCCACTGAGCTCCCAAGCCCAGGAAGGCCCCTGGGAGAGCTCATCCCAGTCCTCAGGGCAGCACCCAGTGCTGGCCCAGGGGCATTGCCGACTTGCTGGGCTGTGCAAGCCTGGAGCAGCTCCTGAGGGTGCTCTTTGTGCTTGTGGCCATCAGGGTTGTTCTGATGGCTGAAGAAAGAGGTGGAGGAATGTTTACACACTCAAATGACGGGCTGGTGATGGCAGAGTCACATTAAATTCATGCCCTCAAGTGTGGCTTTACAGGCCTTCCTAGGGCAGGAACAAGTTGCTCATCTGCTCCTGAGATGTGCTGGCACTACTGAAAGAGTCTCCAGCACTGACCATGAATTTCTGAAGTTCTGCAGGTGTCCCAGGGCTGGTGGTGATGGGGACTGTGGCCAAGCCTCGCCATCCCAGGGCAGTTTTGGATGATGCTGTTATTTTTTACTTGTTTTATGAATACCGTGATAGTTTCAATCCTGACTTTGGCACATAGTCCAGTAGGAGCATTTGCTACCTGTAGTACTGGCTGCTGACTTGTCTTCAGGAAAGATGATAAAATGGTGAGAGCTTTAGAGCAAATCCTGTGATACTGTAATCACTCCTTTTGTAGGAAAGGTTTAATACTAAAGCCAGCAAACCTTGGAATGCACGTGCAGCCCCTTCCTCAGAGCATGGGCATGTGGCAGCTTCCAGAGCAGCCCCTGTGCCACTGCCTGGTTTGGGCATAGCTTCTTGCAGTGACTTCACCAGGAACCCCCCTGCTCCCCGGGTGTGTTCTGGGCACAGGCTGTGTGTGCCAGGTTGGCTTCAGTCACTGGTTTTCTGTCCCACCCTCGTTCCTTCTCCCTGCGTGGAATTATTGCCTCCTGGTTATTCCCACTGGCAGCAGGAAGGAGGGTGATGAGCTGTTAACCTGCAGCTTGAAATCCGTGTTGTGTTTATGTTTTGCATTCGGATGGTCTCTGTGTTTCACTACCAGATGAGCACAAAGGCTCTGGAAGAACAGGGTTGCTCCTCTATCCTGGTGTATTCCAGCCTAGAATCAGTTCCTTTGTAGTTCTCAAGGGCTTCTCTGGGATGGACTCTCGGGATGAAATTTAGTAGGTGTTGCTGGTCCTAAATTTTCAGAAAGGGGAGTTCCTGTGGCTGAAGAGGAATTTGATTTCCAGCTGAGACTGGAATTTTCTCATCTGGAAGCTGACTCCTTCCTCTCAAAAGCCACTTAACCACTGCAGGAACCAAGTGTATTGAAAGTGGCAGAGAGCCATCTTTTATTTGGTGCATACATTTTCTCTATACAATGTGTAATTTATTCTGTTGTTCGGGATACCACTCGCTATACAATGTTAAACATTTAGGATGGTGTAATCATATTTTTGACGCTGCTTTCTGAAAGGCTTTAATCCTTCAGTGCCAGGCACTTACTTGACTCTCAAGCCTGATGCACGTTAGGAACAGCAATATCTTGATGCCATTGTGTGTTCTGGAGTAACGGGAGAAACACTCCCAAAGCTCTGGGTGTGTGGCTGGCACCTCTCCCGGCTGTGAGGGACTGCAGGGGAGCTCTGCTGCTCCTCCTGTGTCTGAGCCACTGGAACCCAGCACAGATGGGCACACAAATGGGCACTCGGGTTCTGGTGGCACCTGTGGTGTCACGGGGTGCGTGGGGTCAGTCTGAGATCGTGGTCCTCATCTCACTGTACCTGAGTGGCTAAATCAGAGGCATTTTATGGTTTTCTTCTCCATCGTGGCAGTGACTCTGTTCTGTGACATCTCCTGCTCGGTGTGACATCAGCTCCCCCCATTTCTGTCCCCCTCTGCAGCAAAGTGCATCCAAGGGCTGTGAGGACTTACCTGTACACTCACCGATTCCCGTGTAAAGCTCCAGAGTATCCCAGGGTTGATGTTTTTGGGGGTGTTGTTGCCGGGAACGCTGCCACCACCTTTCTGCCCAGTAGGTTTCAGCCAGGTTAGTGTTCCCCGTGGCAGGGATTTGCTTCCTGCCACGAGATTGTTTCGTTCATGTCACCGTGCTCCCGAGATCTGCCTCTTTCTTTTAAATAAACCAAAAACTCACCAAGTACCTCTATAAACCCCTTGTAAAACCTGTACTGTAACAAATCTGTATAATTTGTATCGCTGTATAAAGATTCAAATAAAAGCATTCAAACCTTCTAGGTCTTTGTGTCCAGATTTCAAGAATTACTGCGCCTGCAAGGACGAGCTAAGAGCGGGAAGCAGCTTTGTGGCTCCGCAGGGATGTTCAGGATCAGTCTTTGCAAACTTGGGCGAAGTTCTGTGAAGCACCCAGGGCTGTGAGCTGACTTTCCACTGGGTGGTAGCAGCATTTATCTTCCTTCGGCGGGAACAGAGCCGCTTTCGGTTTCAGCTCGGAGAGATCCGAGAGTGCAGCTGGGGCAGGGCAGGAGGTGGCACTTCCCCTTTGCCTGGGGAAAGGCTCATTCCACTCCAGCGAAGAGAAAAACCGTTCCTTGGTGTATACAAACATCCCCAGCACTGCTTCAGCGAGACAGAACATTTCCTCCAAGACCTGGCTTCGCGTTAAAGCCGCTGTGAAAATTTGACAAAGTGGGTAATTAGTGGGATGAGACACGTGCTCATCCTGCCCCGGAGCTGGAGGGGGTTTGGATGCTGATCTGCTGCACAGCAGGCAATGCTTGATTCACAAAGCTTGAGAGCTTGGGGAGAAAAAAAGCCTGTCGGAGCTTGGAAAACCCGGTGGAGCTTTCTCAAACCTTCCAGCGTCGGGCGTGTTTGTGCAGAAGGTCAGGGTTAGGTGATGCACCCTTTTCCAGTCCTTGTTTCACGGCTCATTTCTAATCAGTGTGAGTCACAACACCTGGTTCAAGCAAAGCCAGCTGGTCTCTGAGCAGCCCCCACCTTGATCTGAAAGGATTTAAACCAGGTTTTGGGGTCCTGAGCTTCCCAGACCCCAGCTAAGCTGGGCAGGGGGGAAGGTGGGTTCTCATGACCTCTCTGGATCAAGAGATCTCTCTTCAGCTGCTCAGCTTTGTACCAAAAGGTAAAACAGCAGGTTTGGTTGGCTGGGGAAACTGCCTGAAGCATTAGAAGCGATGTGTTTGTTGTGGGGGGAAAACCAAACCTGGGCTGAGATGGGTGAGCTTTGAAAAGGACATGAAGGGTGAAATGTAAGGTGGTGTTTTCTATAGCTGATTGCAGCAGATAAAATCATGGTGCTCCTGCCTCTCTGGCCTGTTACCAGACCAGAAATGGATTCCAGCAGCAGGGCTAGATGAGGCAGAGGGGTTCCAGGAGGGAGAGGATGGCCTGGTATCCCAAGCTGGGTTTGGTGCCTGAGGGGTCTGTCTGTGCGTGTTGGAGGGGCTGGGTGTAGCCTCAGGAACAGCAGAGCCCTTGGCTGTGCTGGGAGGTGCTTGGAGTGAGGGCTCTCATCGTAAACCTCTACATGCAGCCCCTTCCAGGAGAAACAGGAACAAGGGAGACACACAGTGTGTGTGTTACTGCACCAATTACCCTCTAATCAGGGGGTTGGCCTCTTTGAGGTCATCACCCCGCCCAAGAGCTGTTGTATCACTCTGGGCTGACCCTGCTGCTCTGCTCCTCGGGGACAGCAGCAACTTCTGCCTGCTCTGGAGGGCTGAGTGGTTGAGCAGGGAGACGATTTGGGGACTCCCAGGAGATGCAGCCCCTGCCAACTGTGGTAACGTCCGTACCACAGCACTGAGTCATCCCTGGAGCTGTGGGAACCACCAGAGAACCTGTAAGCAAATACGAGGCACCTTTTTAGCAGGGCCTGTTCCTGATGAAATCGATTTCTGATACCAAAGATGAACTGTAAATATCTCCAGTGCTTTCAGACTATCAGTTCTGCCACAAAGAACTCTTGTGAAAAACTTCTGTTGTGAGCTGATGTTTGAACATGTAAAAGCCCTTCTAGAAAGCTGTTAACCACTACCTCTGCTAGAAAAGCTGATTTTGGAGCAACTGTTTTGGCAGTCAGGAAAGTATTTCACATTATGTGGTGTCCTCCACACAGAGACCAGCCAGAAACCATGCAAGCAATCCAAAGCTGGCTCTACCTCTTCCAAACTTTGCTTCAGATTATAGGTACTGATTTTAAGATTGTTTTCTGCTCCCGGATTTTGCCTGGAAACAGCTCGGAAGGGTGCATCAAATCCTTATTTTTGCATCTCGGGTTAGAATTGGAAGAGAGGAAGTCTATTTGCACTTAGAGTGGTAAATTATCAAAGCAAGGTTCCCTCTGCAAGCCTGATGTCCAAATTTCATCCCAGAACTGCAAAAATTGTAACCACTTGGCTCTTAATCGTTTCAGTGAGAGGACGGTCCCCTTCTCTCACACGGTGTGGGTGGCTGGTTGTGGCAGCTTCTGAGAGCCCTAATTTAAATGTAACGAAATTTCCCTTTCCTGAATAATTTACATGCCTGTGTGTAAGGGGGGCTTTGCAGAGCCACAGAGAGAGGAGCACGAGGCGTTTTGTTTGCGGTTGTAACGCGTGTGCCCCGTGGCTGTTGCTCTGAGTAGCGACAACTACACAGTTCCTTCCCCTTATTCTGTTTAGGCACTGAAAAAAATAAGGATTTTTTTTCCAAGTTTAATTTTTTAAAGAGTGAAATTGTGCCTGCTTGCCTGCAAGCTGCCAATGCTGAAACATAAGAGAAATGATTTTATTCTTGCAAGCCCCAGGTTTGGCCATTAGCAGTAGTGATCTCAGCTCTTTGCTGCCTTTGACACTTGATATCATCTCTTCTGTAAAAACTAAGGGAGCACTTGCAGTTTGCTGTATCTGCTTTGAGTTTTTCCAGGCACCATTTGCTGCTTCCAGTGAGTGGAGTTAAATCCTGCAAAGGCACTTCACTAAAAGGAAACTTGAATTTTTTGGGAATCGAGGGCTGCTTGGGAAATGACCTCGGTGCTGGGTGTGGTTCCTGCTGTCACTGAAAACCGGGAAATGAACTTTCTAACTGGTTTGTTAGGTTAGAAAGTTGACATTATTCAATGCTGAAGGTACATGGGGATTGCTCCACAAACCCTGTACATCAGTCATCAGAACTTTGAACACATTTTAGCAAACGCAGGAATTAGTGTTTATTGGCTACAAGTTACATAATTCTCTTAATAATTAGTACTGTAACTTCGATTAGCTAACGATTCTCTCACTTCTCATGCTAATTAGTCCCACACGCTCAGTTCCTCTCTTCTTTTGGGTCGCTGGTCTGTGGGTTGGTGGTCACAGATCCCCCCTGCCAGAATTACCTTTGGAGCTGATCTCAGCACAATGACTGCCCCCTTATCCTGGGAGCCCTCCTAAATGTCCCTGTGGCCCATCAATCCTGCCATTACCAGTGGTTCATCCATCCCTCTTCCCAAACCACTTAAACTTCCTCCCCCAAGTCTTGAGGGCACTGGAGCACGCCAAGCCCGAAATTTTAATCTGTATTTTTTTTTCCTAACACATGGACATCTCCCAGAGCTTGCCCACCAGCCACAGATTAAATCCCACAACGTTCTCCCCCCGCTGCCCTCCGGGCTCCTTTTTAAAGAAATACAACTCGTTCGGTAACGGTGCCACCCTGGGGAGCCTCTCCCCACTGAGGACAAACCAAGGGGCTCCCGGGATGGGCTTGGGCAAAGACCACCCTGGGGAGCCCACGGTGGGGGCTGCCCGGGTGGGTTTGTGCAGGCTCAGGGCAGCGGATGTCGGGGTTGGTGATTCACGTGGGGACAGGAAACCAGCAGCGGGTGGCGAGCCCTGGAGGAACCGGCTGCGAGGGGCAGGAGGGGATGGGACAGCCCGGGGAGAGCAGCTGAGGCTGCGGGTGAGGCGGGACGGGAAGGTGCGTGGGGTGGCGAGAGCGGCCCGTGGGAGCGCTGTGCGGGCACTGGGGTGTCCCACTGAGCCTGGGGACCCTGTAAAAACCTCTCCGAAAATCGACGTGCTGGATGTTCCCCCCTCGCTGAGAGGCTCCAAGGTAGGAAATCACCAACTCTCTCTCTTCTCAGCAGCGTTTAAAGCCCTCGGGACCTGAGATGAGTCCGCCCCATACAACCGGGATATTCCAGTGCTGTTCTTTACATCTCCCCCTCCATCTGCTGGTGGCAGCGCGGCGGGTTTTTAATTACGTTATTTCTGCATTCACATCTGCTAAAATATTCTGGGAGATTCGGTCTGTGCTGAGCTCCTCTCCTCCCGAATCTGCTCGGTCCTGCTCTTGGCTCCTGCTTCTGGGACTGCTGCTCCCCTTCCAGAAGCCCAGCCCTGTGAAATAGGCTGATTCAAACGACGCTTCCCGGGTTTTCCATCGGTTTCAGGGCTGACTGGCATCATGGATATGAGCATTTATTTTACTGCCTGTGAGTGCTTGAGCTTGCTTGAATCCTAGATGGAAGGAAGGAGCTTTGTCTTTGCATCAGTTTTCTCTTGTGATCAGTGCTCAGTGTAATATGAGCCACGAGGCAGCTACTTGAACAGAGGGAGGATAATTTTGGGATGATCTTGTGTGAGATTGGCTCATTCTCGTGGCTCTGGAATGGGTAGTTACACACATGGGGGTTGCCTGTGTTGCTAACGTGGCGTCCCCGGGGCTCAGAGGAGACCTTGTGAGGCTTTGATGCTGCCTGGGACATGGGGAAGTTGAAAATATAAGATATTCCTGTGAATTGCCTCCTTGTGCTGGCCTGTGTGTTGTGGTATGGGGTTTGCATTCTATTTTCCACCTGAGGGTTTCTTTTTTTATGGCATTTTCCAAAGGGATAATCCGTGTGCAAGTTGGTTTATCAATTCCAATTTCCCCCTCTTGCCCCGTGTTCTGCTGAAGTGCATCTACTACTCCCCTGGCATAAAATAAACCCTGATCTGCCTAAATAGCTGTGAAAAACCAGACTTTATGGCAGCAGCTTTCCTAAGAAACCTCATGCTGGCATAAATCTGGTAGGAAATGGGATGTGCAGAGCTCTGGAAAGGAGCTTTTCTGGAGGCTCAGCGCTGGTCACTGAAGTGGTTCCAGCCACAGGAGCTTCCTTGGTCTGAAACTTTAATTTCTGAATTGATGGGACTCTCTGTGGCAATCTGTGCCACACAGGCAAACAGAAAGTGGAGTTTCTTTTCTTAGACATGTTAGAGACATTGAGTCAAGCTGAATATTGCATCTGTTC